TGTGCTAGGTCTATTTGATAGCATAGTCGAAGCTCAGAAGCTAGATCCCAAAATTGAGTAAACACGGCTCGAAAGACTGTCGTGTGTTCTCCCCTTCAATTCTTATCCGCTCAGGGCATCGGGGTAAATGTTACCCAATAACTTTGAGCTCTCGGTGACGCCATGACTGGTACCCAAAGAGCACTGTACACTAATTGTGCACACTAATGTTTAGATAAATGTAACATATAAACGTTGGAATGTTGTACATGGAAGATAGGGGGTTTAGCGCGGTGGAAGCCGGCATCTCGCTGGCATCTCTCCCAGGCAACGGACAAGTCTGTCGCTTTGTCTCATGCTACGGAAGACACTGAGATATATGAATATCATGTTTTGAAGGTCATCGTAGGAGTATGTGGTCAAGGAATCGAGTGCAAGTCAAGGATGTTTCACGACAGGCGCGTTGTTTCATCGGGGGCACAGGCATAGTAGTTTTGCATGTCTCTCCATGCACTGTATCGTAGTCTATCTCCTTATAAACTTGTTTATGGAGTTCCCTGCCATCTATAGTGGTCCAGGATTTCATTGCCAGCCTAATCATCGGTCAATCTCGGGCGCCGCCGACGCGTCGAGTACATGTGACTCGATTACAGCTAAGGGTCGGCTCGGCAGGCTCATGCCGAGGCAAAATTCAAACTCAACTCAGTGGGCGTCGCGCCAAGGACTAGCCCAGTTGTGCCAGTCTCGCTGACGCGAGAGCCCTCTGGGGCTCGGTCCCCTTTTGGGAACGCACAAGCAGAGAGTGGTCACGCCCTACGGAAACCCACTGTTCATTCTTTGGGCGCTTTATGCCACCTTACGTCGGTTTTGATGCAATCAAAGCCCAATCTGTGATGGGCACAATTTGACCACAAATGCCCGCGTCATGCCAATTTGGCATAATTTCCGTACGCGCAAGATGGTCCACTATGGCCAACTTATGCCACTTTATGCCAATGGTTCGCGCGTGCTCCTGCAGCACGCTCCCTCCATCCTTCACGTTCATGGCATAAGATGGCATAAATTCACCCAATTTTAAAATTTGAATGAAGATGTATTCTTGTATCGCACACCAAAGGAATACAAGCGTTGTATGGTAACAATCGTACAGTGTGCAGTAACATCACCAAGTCCGAAAAGCACAAGGGAGAGCACGTTGAGCACCTAGTTACATGCGCTTGCGATGGTGTCGCTGTCGGTCTTCCACGTTTTTGAAGGCCACCTCGATCATACGTTAGAGTAGACCTGCAATGGTTGTTTTGACTCACCAAATCTTTAGCCTCGTTCGAAAGGCCCTATATGAACAATGAGAAAAGGAAACAAACAAATAAATCAGCAAACTGTGCACAGTGTTCTGAAGCCCAAGTCCGAGCACCATACTCCTGCACATTTTACTCGTTTATAGTGATTGTGTCGTCGGGCCGATTGTAGTGAAGCGCCATCAGAGTTCTGCATAAGTAAACATAACCAACATACCGTGAGCTCGACAAAACATACTCACTTGCCGTTTTATTCGTGCTTGGCGGTTGACAACTTTGATGACGTACTACGGCTTGTTCCGCTAGCATTGGCCGTCACGCGTCCAGAGACGCGATCGGCCTGTAAGAGAGCAGTCAATTTTGTAAGTGAAATGTCAGCGCAAGGGTCGCCATTACCGGGCGTATGCGGAGGTAGCATGTACCAGCGAGTGATAGGCTGATTGTTGGGCCTGCGGGAATCGGTGGCGGGTGAGCTGCACTTGGGGAGGAGGCTGGGCCGCTCGGTGATCTCGAGGTGAAGGAGCTTGTAGAGAGGGGTTAAACATACCAATGAGCTACGGATAATGTCTTTGAGCTGAAACAGGCCCCTTGTTGTGCAGATATAGGTCGCACCATCTGGCGAACACGCTCGACATAGCTACTTAGTGTGATTTCATCAAAACCGATGCTCACCAGACATGTCAAGTCTCGTGGCTATCGCAATGTCAGACTCTCTCCTCCAACTGACTCGGGAACTCTCTGTGAGCTGGGGAGGGCGCATGAAGTTCAGATTTGGGCCCTCCAACTGGTCAAGGCCCTGGCAGTGGTGTTTGTGGGTAGGAACTGGTTGTCGCCGCCAGAATGCGGGAGATCGCGAATTTACGTACCAGAATGCATACCCGTAGGTGATGATGTGGAGTCTCTTCCTAAGTCTTCTGGCAATGGGTGCGATGGGCACGGTTGAGAAGTCGGTGTAGAGAGTGGATGGTGAGTCGGAAGGACAGGAAAGGACAGAGTTGGCTGCTGCGCATTGGCTGTGCATGACCAAACAGAGCCACAATAAATATGTTGAGGGCTAACCCAAGAGGATGTACACACAAGTCCTGTGCGCTGGAAAATTACTGCTGCTCGAGGGTCATTGGCATTCTGTGCCGTGTGCACCGGACTTTCGAGTATATTTTCAGCCGCTGAAATATAGTTGAAATGAGCGTCGGATTTGCCTGTCCAACTATAGATCATCCACGCAATTGAGGCTTTTAAGTTCCCAACATCAACTCAACCTGTTTCTGACGATTTGAAACCTCTACAATTGACTGACTTCTTGATCAAATTAGCCGCATCACCTGACAGAACTGAGAGGACAGACTAATATAACCCAAAGTTTGTAATTCATAGGAGATTTATGCATGAACTCATCCTATTCATAACATGTATGTAAATATTGCTAAAGGTAATGTGCTGCTAGGATCAGTGATATAAATCAGACATCCACGATAGATCACTGAGGGATAAAATGACCATGATCAGTTCATCATTCTCCCCAGACATTAAGAAGAAGAAGAAGAAGAACCCGTGTATAGCTGAATAGAAAAGATCGGTGTAAATACAGTAAGTCTCCTATGAATCACAAACTTTGGGTTATATTAGTGTGTCCTCTCAGTTCTGTCAGGTGATGCGGCTAATTTTGAGAAGTCAGTGTTACAGTCGTTTCAATTCGATAGACCAGATTTCACTCTTGTGGAGCGTGGAGCCTTGTTTACTGGCAGTGAACTTAGTACTGTTTTCCCCATGGGACACATAACTTGTTTGCTGTTGTCCTCTCGTCCCTTCGCGTTTCTTTGTTGCAATCTTGACTAAGATTGATTTATCATCTCTGAAAATACACGTCACCTACATCTTTGAGGTTCAAGCATCATACCTAAGCCTTGAGACCAGAATTAAAGCCCGTTATCGCATACTTCTGCCCGAAGAGATAGCAGGATGG